CCCCAAAACCCCAAAACCCCAAAACCCCGTCATGCTTCAATTCATTATTCATATTATTTTTGAATCAATAAATATATCATTTGACCATGTAACTAGAAGTGTAACTAATATTACTCTTCTCAAATGGCTCTTTCATGTATAGAGTTTTAAGAGCTGTCTTATGCTCTGACTTAGGGCCAATCTTAATTTCCCATTATACCTCTGTCTAGCCCTTATCATCCTCAAAGTTCTGCATATTCATTCCAAAAGTTGCATCAAATTCCTTTTCAGCTTCGTTATTCTCAAAGTACCAATACTATCTATCATCAATCATCACATTATAGTAGAATATATCGTATTTACGCCCATCAAATTCTATGTGATGCACTTTACCTTCTTTCTTGCATTTCTCTATGATTAAGTTCTGGTCGCTTATAGGCTCTACATCGTATATTTTAAAATTGAGAGAGTATTTAAGTGATGTCTTCTTAGTGATATCAATTATCTTCAGATGCTTAATATCGTGCTGACCTGGAAGAATTCTCAATCTCCACTCATTGCTATTATGCATTGAGGATACTTCTTAGCTGCCAACTTAGCTTGCATTTTTTTATTCGGCTAAGTTTTCAATATTCAAAATGACTCTTGACAGTAAAACCTTTGTTGTCTCTTGATTATCGAATAAGAAAGAGAATCCATCTTCATTTTGAAGGATATAAACGTTCTAGTTGTATTATATGCCTTTTTATTCATCACTTACTATGAATTTCTTGCCTTTTTCTCTGATTTCATCAGGAGTTATTTCTGCGTCATAAGTTAGTCTTGTATAATTAGCAAATTTATATGAAGAACTCTCTTATGGTGTTCCTAATTTTCTTATTAGATAAATAATATCTGAATTGGGCTTGAGATTTATTTCCAGCTCCAGAGTCTCAGAGTTTAATCCTTGTATCTTTAGATTTTTAATATCTTTGAATATCAATTTTTCTTAGAGGATTGGCAGTTCTTGCTACTCTTGAGATGTTTTAAAATTTGAATAGTAAATATAGCCAACATCGCCACCTTGGCCATCAGTCATTTAAATTACTTTATACAGCGATTTCACATGGCCTTTTTGGTTTTCATAATATGTCCTCTTCTTTTCATTTTTGACTGCACAAGATTTCATAAGCTCTTCAAGTATCATATATTTTCCATCCTTATAGTATTCATTTTTATCAGCTGCCTCAAGCCCTAAAACCTGATCTGAATAAGATGAAAGCACAAATGAGGTGATGAGATCGGGTTTAACCCACTCCATTTCAATGTAGATCAAATATGCTCCAGACTCAATTCCTGATAATTCCATCACTAGATCTTCACTTACCCCGAATACACACTTCAAATAATCCAACTTTCCATTGTTGAGAATTTTGCCAATTATTATTCTTGCCTTTGAAATCTCATAATTTTACTAATTTTTCTCTTCTTCATTATTATTAATAACTAATCTCTAATTGACTTAATGAACATTGATATAAGTCTTTTAGCTCTTCTGGTGAATTTAGAATCTAGCTAAAGCAAACGATCCTTGCATATGGCTTAATCTCAGATTCTCTCTCTAGAAAGTTGAATGCTTGCTAAAGTGCATCTTGCACAGACAAGTTGAGTTGTAATAACTGATATAATCGTCGAAACTGATATAGTATTAATTTTATTCCTCGTATACTTTCTGATAGCTAAGGAGTTGCTTGAGCTCTTCACCATTTTGCTGCGACCAGATATTGCTTCTGCTTGACCACTCGCCAGTCCAATCAGTCTAGTTACTTAAATCTTTCATCTTAACTAATTTGACTTTTTAATCAGTGTTGGGTATAATTATTTCAAAAGCATCACAAATAGAAAATATCTGAGCTCCATTTGAATGAGTCTCACTTATTGATCTTTCATTTCCTGAACTTGAAAATATCATGCTTCCACTCTTTATGTGCTCGCATAAAACTTTCCATATTTCATCAGGTTCGGAATAATCATGATGAAGCATCTATGTTGGAACATTAGTCAGATATTTCAGTACTTCCAATGTGTGTATATGAGCTGATTTCTCATAAGATCCACAAACCTTAGCCCATGCTTTTTCAAGTAGTGAGATCCAAGGGAATGTATTCTTATTCTTCATATATATCCCTATCATTTAGTCCTAATGATAAGGAACATAATCATCAATAGATACAGTTTTAGGCTCACCATTTAGGTAGAATCTAAACTGATAAAGAGAACTTTCACTGTTTTTATTCAAGAATAGAGATTTCACAAGATTTGGGGATTAGTGATAAAGCAGTCTTATTGCATGAAGGAAAGACTTATTTTAAAGATAAGGGCTTTCCTTTAAATCATCTAATTGCAGAGTATCATCAAAGATATGAGTCTAATCCCCTTTGCCATTAAGAGTATCATAATAGACATCAACTAATCTCCTCCATGTAATTAAATTATCTTATTCATGCTATGCTATTTCTTTGACATCATCATATCTACCTAATGATTTCCTGCATGGTGGAAAGTCTTTATCTAAAAACAAGTTCTCTCTACGAGTTTCTTTTTCTTTGCTAGATATTTAGAGAGATTGTATTAATTCCTCATCAAACTCTCCAAACTATGGCTGTCTAGTGATTGTATTTATGTGAGATAATATCATTTTGGATCTTTTAATAATATTTACAGATATTATGCTAAATTAATTATTAGGGTATTTTCTTCCTTAAAATTTAAGAAACATTAGTCAGATGGGGTTTTGGGGTTTTGGGGTTTTGGGG